TCTCTTACCTGCTATGTCAGGTGTATTGTGATGAATTTCTACCTTGATATATCAAAGGTTATCCCCAGTATTAACAGAGTGAAGTATTGATTTTGAAAAACTTTGATGCCAAGAAGTATTATAGACCATTTATTGTTAGTGAAAGAAAAAATCTTTTAAGGGAAAAAAGGCAGTATTACAGAAAATGTCTTGTTTAATCTGGAATATGGTTTTCCAATCAGTGTTCAGATCTACATGTATTGCCCAGTGGGTCTTATATAGAAAAATGGAGAGAAAAAAATGGAATGCTCCCCATCATATGTATGCTTGGAGTTGTGATAATCTTGCTTTGATACTAGCTGTTTGAAAAAAAAAGAGATTTTTTAAAAGCATTTTGTAATATGCATTTGCTAGCATTTCATAAAAGGGAGATTTAGAAATGTTATGGGATAGAGGTTAATTTTGGTTGCTTTAACCAGGAGTAAGTTTTGAAATCCAAAAAAAGTCTGTTTAATTTTCAAAACCCATTAGGAATGATTGAAAACTATGGAATTCTAAATTTTGGTTCTTGTGAAGGTGTATTAAAGTATACACTGTAACAGTTTGTTGAGAAATCTGTGATTGACTTTTAATCTATTTCATGTTGGTTTTGACATCTGTGGACTTTTGTGCTCAATGTTTGATGTGGTTAGATGGCTACTGTATTGTAAGGTTTAGTTTACAGTCCTTCATGACAGAAACCTGCCAACCAGCACTCCATTGTCAATTTAATATTTATTATTTTACTTTTAATGGGATTGGAAATCAACCTGCTTTCTATAGCTGTAAAAGCCATAGGGAACTCTTTTGTGTGGAGGTAGTTTATTGTTTGATTGCATTGGGAACTGCTATTTGAACAAGAGTTAGTACCTATGTGTTGATAGAGTTTAACAGATGGGAATCAATTTCATGGACTTGGAAGATATTAAATTCTTTTTGAGTCATCTACTTTGGTCATGACCCAAGATTTATTTTTTCAAGCTGTACTTTATGAGTGAGATATTTTCGAATGGATGACAGAATTTTCATAGTTGATTGATATTGAAGCAAACAAAGGTATAATAAAGGAATTGATCATTAAAAGGAAACGTGATTGAATGGTTTTGATATAGAGTTCTTCATAATTATGAAAAGGTTTCTAGGAAATTTTAAGTATATTGTCAGGATGATTGTCTTATAAAAAAAAAGATCTCTTGAAAAAAATTATGATTTTTTTGTTTTTTATAATACAATTTACATCATAGAATTTTTTCTCTATTAAATGGTTTTTGATTTTGTTCTTCAAGTTGCATCAGTGATTGTTAGTTGTAGGAAATAAAAGTGATGAAGTATAAGAAAAGAGAAAAGATCCAATGTTTGTTAAATATATTCCTGTTTTAGTCTTTGGACTACATGATGAGAGGGGTTTGTCTAGTTCAAGACATACTAGAGGGATCAGAAGTTGGCCTGGGATTTGCCAGCCAAAATCAGTGGTAGTCCTAGATTAGGCACATCAATCCACTTATTACCTGCACCAAAGCTTCAACAAACATTTCTCAAATACTGGTAAGAACCATGGGACAAGCTTCAAGTCTGTCTCCCCCCACCAATAGCAAGTCTGACCCTGTAAAGCAAAGCCTAGGATCTGGATGGGTGTGCCGGAATCTTAATTCCTGTATAATCAGGTGGAACTCAATACAAGTCATCTTATGGCCTTTGTCTTTTTTACCTGAAGGCAAATTGAACAAAAAGGATATTTCACTATGTAAAGTTTTGCATCAGATTAGGTAACATTATTGCATAACTTTATCATTTGGTATCCGCCCACAAAAAAATGCATTAAATTTTTAAAATTTCATTTTAGTAGTATCTATATCAGAGCTTGAATTTGAATTGATTTTTTTTTCTTTTAGCAGTGAGAGCTGCTTATCCATTTTTGTGGACTGAAATTCTTTATCAAATCTATGTCTGTCTGATCAGAGCTTAATTTTTGATTTATCAGATAAGTTTCCACTATATGAAAATCAGATGTTTGTTTTCATGAACATGTGTGAGAACAGAGGGAATTCACACAAGATTGAAAAAAATCAAACATAATCTCTGGAAGTCATATATCATGGGACAATGGCTCGATTTTTGTCAATCAGTGTCACTTGGAAGCTTGTGCAAATCCTCTGCAAACAGTTGACTTTCTCCTTAATTTCCAAGCGACAGGAATACCATGCAGTTCTAGTGACTTTAAAGTTTTTCTGTAAATCCCCCCTAAACTCTCTTCAAATGTCCACCTTGTGAATGCTCCCCGCAAAATTGTGTCTTATCCATTTTTGCATGAAGACCAGATTTGCTTGTACTTAGTGAATTTTGGAGGTAGAAAATGCCTTGAAGAGAATTAAGAGAGGATAAACTTGTAATGTATAATACTGGTGGTGTATAGATCAAAGATCAATTTCTAGATAAAGTCACAGGTGCAAATTTTTAGAGAGATTTTATTGATCAATGATCAAGTCCTATTGGTATCCTGGATTTTCTAGATGGTCTAATCAATAAAACAAAGAATTTAAGATGGCAAATAAGGGGAAAGTATAGTCAAACAAGTGCCATAGTTTTTTGAGTCAATAAGACCGTGATTTTGTGAAGAAGATTTCGTGCTACTCCAAAAGAACTCTTTTTCATCACAACTTTAAAAAGTCCAAAACCACAAGATTTATGATCACTCTAGTACTGTAAGAGTACCCAATATTTGTTTTCTGTTTAGAGAATTTGACAGGTTTATTTATCAATTGAGAAGGTACTCCACATGAAACAATTGCAATTTTATTACTCCTAGAGTTCTCTCTATCAACAGCTGTCTGTCTGATTGTCTGTCTGTGATTGCCTGTATCACTTTAATTATTTTGATTTCATAGTTTTAATACATGATTATGGCTATTGGCTCTAAGATCAGTAATCATCAAGACTTAGGGATTTGAGATTCAAGGTTGAACCTCAAATTCACGTAAAGGCTGGGACCATTGACTCGCTCCGAAACATCCCTTGTATTTAACATATATTTAATATCTTTTGAGAAACCAGAGTTTGGCTGTACAGTTGAACTTTGTATTTTGAACATCGAAATCTCAATACCATGGATATGCCAAAGTGAGTTCAAAGCCCAAATCACTTTTTAAGCTTCTGGAATCAATAATTCTGGGGCACATAGTTTTTGGTCAGTTCTGTCCACAGAAACTTTAACATTGCCCATAACTTTTGATTAGTTGGTGCTAGGGCTTTCATATTTCAGAAGTGTATTCTTTTTGACAAGATCTCTGTTGGGGTACCAACATATCTGACATCTTGACCTTGGAGTTTGATTCACTTTTGCAAATTTTTGCCAAATTTTAACCTTGGCCATAACTCTTGAACAGTTAGAGCTAGTGTTTTCATATTTCACATACCTATTTCTTGTGACAAGACTTTTTCTTGGGTACCAACATTTTTGACCTTTTAACTTGACCTTGGAGTTTGACCTACTTTTGAAAAAAACTTTAACCTTGCCCATAGCTTTAGAACATTAAATTTGGCACTAGGGCTTTCATAATTTGCGTGTGTATTCCTTGTTACAAATTCTTTTTTTTTTTTTTGGTTCCAACATTTTTGACATATACTTTTGTTAAATTTTTACCTTGGCCATAACATTTAAACTGTTTATGCTAGGGCTTTCATATTTCACATATGTAACCTCTTGACCTTGATAATTGATTTTGTCCTACTTTTGAAATACTTAAACCTTGGGCATGAACTGCCATAATTATGGGCATCAGTGTTTCACAAACAAATCTAGGTTTTTATATATTTTAACCTTTATATCTCAATTCCTTTGATATCTAAATTTTTGGGCCCCTTCAAGTTAAGATAAAGTTTGACTGGTTATGATTACAATCCATATGTTTCTTAAAGAGACATATAATGAGTCAAAATCATATTATATTTCTTTAATAGTATTTGTATCATAAATCTAACAAAACTATAAAAAATAGGAGTATAGTGAAGTTTTGAAAACTAAACTGCTGTGTAAAGCAGGGGTTGTATCAACTGCATCATTATTGTCCATGTCAAGGTCATGCGACTTTTATTTATACTGTAAAACTTGTTAAACATTGAACTGGAGCATGAAAAGGTAAAAAGTATCTCAAAATTCCCAGTGTACTGACATTCCACTTCTTGTGACTTTATTGAGACAATAGTAACTTGTTCAACTTTTCTGCACATTTGAGCAATAAGCAGGAAGGAGGCAGAGGCCATGCAAAATTCTATTTTTGTCAATTTTCCAGTTTTTGCATCACTGTGTCTCCTTAATGCCATCTGTAACAGTTAGTTACAATAATAAGGAGAGTATATGCCTGATTTTTTTTTTTTTTTTTGATTGGCAATATGTTCGGTATGTCATCAGCATTTATAAGACATGTATTTGATCTTCTGAATGTATCACTTAGATGCCGATTAGCGGTCTGTCTGTTTATAGACAGATATTGTAGAATTGGACTTTGTGAAAATCCCAACATTAAGATTTTGATTCAGTCTTGTCAAACAAAGAAGTGGCAATTTGATGGTATTTTCCTCCTTTGGTTATCTGTAGTATTGTAGAATTGAGGGGTTAGAGTTGATGTATGGAAGAATCTTGAGGAAACACTGAAAGAAGAGACATATGTAGTTTGCTGATAAAATGGATCTAGTCAGGGTTTTGTTTGTATAGTCTTATGATAGTCACAAGTTTACCAGTAAAACATTTAAATTGCAGAAACTTGTAATTCACAAACAGGATCTATTGTGAGGAGGAAAAAAAATCAAAAATTTTCAAATTTCAAAAAGAGTTTTATATAAAATATTTAAAAAGTCTATTTTTAAAAAAATGGACTTTTCGCAAATATTTAGTAAGAGAGAAGAAAACAATCAGAATTCTTGGCAAGCGTATGTTCAGAATTCTTGGCAAGTACAAAATATTCATGAGTACTATATATTTTCAGAGCTGAGAAAGAGGAGTGCCTTAGATGGGCAGACCCCGTGTTGTCCAATCTGTGGACTGACCCTGAGGAGTGGGGAGGTGGACTCTCACATAGCTCTGGAGGTGGATCGTCTAGAGAAAATCATGAGGTATCTTACAGTGTAGGACTTGCTCACGATTTTTATGCCCCCGCCATGAAATGGCTGGGGAATATAGTGTTACCCCTTTCCGTAGAGTTTTTCTATGAATTTGAATGTATTTTAAATACAGTTGAACTTTGTAATCTCGAACTTCAATATATTGAATATCTTGGATATATGGAAGTGAATTGGAAGTACAAATAGTTTCTTAATGCAATCTTAGTATCTTGAATCTTTGGATTTGTTGTAGTTTTTTTTCTCTGTCTTATTGAGTTCAAGATAAAAAAAAAGTTTGACGGTGTTTTATTATATTTTGGATAAATTTTTTTCAAAACTTACACTGTATCTTTAAAATCATTTTTTCCCCTGATAAAGTGATAGATGTAGTAAATTCAAGCACACTTGTATGTTGCAGAAACTGCATGTTTTATAAGATTGTTTGCCAGGATATAACATACTGTCATAAATACCCAGAAGATGTACAAAAAAGTCCTTATTGAATACAGTATATGGAATAGAGAGATCAGTATATTTCAGTAATCGACCAATACATTCAGTTTCTTCATCACTAAACCATTTGTCAATGATTACCTGGAACAATGCATCCTCACTTTCTTTCAGTCTTTTTTTATTGTGGATCTAACTATATTAGGCTGCAGTTCAATCGTACTCCTGCTGAGAGACATCAGTTTGGGTGACATTTGTAGAAATATACTCTTTCTTTGAAAGTGTCTGCTGCTGGGGTAATTTGTTGATGGATGCTGAAAGGGTAGTTCAGAGATGACAAACCTGAGTAATTGTCAGTTGATCCAAATTGAGTTATGTTTACAAATGCAGACAAACAAACTTCTGTCGCTGCACTGGGCAAAGACAGAAGTAATTTTAGGTTGTCAGACTGATGGATTATTCCACCAATCAAATTAGGCTGCAACAGATTACTCAGCCAATCAAATCAATCTGATCAAAGTACTGCTCAGTGTATCTTGTTTCACTGAAAGTCATTCAAACCTAATTGTAAAGAGCTTTTTCTTGTATTTTTAGAAGTGGTAGAAGGTCAAGGGACACAACTCCACAGGGCAGAAAGGTAATTATTGGATCCCAAACTTGACTTTGACCAAAATTTGATTTAAAATTGTGTTAGATGTCATTGAATGCCCCCCCCCCCCCCCCCAAGTTAAATAATCTCTTTTGGACATAAAGAAAATAGTTATTTAAATATAAGTTTATTTTATATTGTACCTGCATACAACGATATCTACTTATGTTTGATCTTTATGAACATGTGATTCTTCTTCAACAAGAAAAAAATTAAAACTAGAAAGCTAAAATATCAAAGAAAATTTTACATAATATGAAAAAGCTTTTCCTTTGTGTGGCATATTAGCAACTTCTGCATAAATCAGAGTGATGTGGGATAACCTTGGCACCCTGCGAGACTGTGAACAATCGGAATTAAATTACAGTCATTTTGCAGACAAGTTGCTAATCCCATTGAACTAAAATACTACATAATGATGAAGGCTATGAGGAATCAGCAGTAGAAGACTTACATTGAATAGCTGTTCTGTATCACATTGCCTAATTAAGCATACTTTATAGGAATTTTATTAGTAAATAAATGTGTACGACCTCCTAATTATAGTCTAGGGTATCTCACACAGTTTTTATTTTCTTTTAATTTTGAATAAACTAGAGGCTTAGTTAGAATCATATGTTTCAAACTGCATTCATTCTCTTCACAAATTTTAATCCATGTTATGGGATATTGGAAACTGTTGTCAAGACTTGTTGTAACTGCCAGTAGGCTGAGGATTAGGCTGTTGCAAATTTCTGAAAATTAAAGCTTGGTTCTTGTAAAGTTAGTCATCAAATTTGGTAATCAGATTCTATTGTGGTCATTTTAAAATCAAGCTTCTCAGGAATGCTCCAAGATAATTGTTGAATAATAGTTTCAGTGTTACTAGCACTGCATATGATGAAATTGCATCTTTATGGATGAGGGGGCGTGGCCAGACAATAATTGATGGACAGGTAGAGTTACCCGGTGTGTGTATCAATCCATCAGTGTATAGAAATTTAGGAACTGATCTATGCTTAGAAGTCACTCTTCAGAGTGTGGAGATAAAAATAGTCTGATTAAATTTCCTGTTAACCTTGTTATGACAGTAGTAGGGAAGCCTATGTGTATCAAATGACAATGATGCACATCACATTAGTCATAGGAGAAATATTCTGATACCTGGGAAAAAGAAATGCTTTAGTCTGTGTAAAGTGTATATTAAAATATACCAGTATGAGAAATAAAAGTTTGAATATAAAAAAAATTTTTTTTTAAAAATAGTAAGTGAAGTACAGTACAGAGGGTTTTTTTAAAAATGTGATAGTACATGTATTGTCAAATTTGATATTGATATAGGATTCAATTTATTTGAGATAATTTATAAGTTGATGAAGATTCTGATATTATGCACTCTATTCCTTTTTAATATCAGGTCATGTTTCATACAGTGCAATATATGAGTAATGATACACGCTTTGTCATTCTTAGCTATGCATGATTTTGATTCAATTTCAAGATTTTGATTTTATTGGGTTTTTTTTTTTTTTTATTTAGACTTTAACTTCTCCATCTGCTCACAGACAGAGGAAGGACTCCCCATCTATTGAAGCAGCATCCCAGTCCAGATATGATGTAAGTATTGTGTGTACTGTTAGTGCTATAGTGCACAGATTCAGTGGCTGTGTCTTTCATTCCAGATATAATATAAATTTTAAGTGTGCTGTCAGTGCTACTGAGCACAGAATCAGTGGCTGTGTCTCTCATTCTCTCATTCCAGATATAATATAAATTTTAAATGTGCTGTCAGTGCTACTGAGCACAGAATCAGTGGCTGTGTCTCTCATTCCAGATATATATTTTAACTGTGCTGTGTGTGCTACTGAGCACAGATTCAGTAGCCATATTTTTCAATCCCAATGTAATGTAAGTTTGGCATGTGCTGTCAGTGCTACAGGGCACAGATTCAGTGGCTGTGTCTCGCAGTCCAGATATAATGTAAGTTTGGTTTGTGTTGGGCACAGATTCAGTGGTTGTTTGTATGTGCTCAGAGTGCTACGGACAAAGATTTAAGGTTGTGTTTCTTTACCCAGATATGTGTGATATGAGTACCATAAAACACATATTCAATGTTTGTGCCTTGTAGTCGAGTTAAAATGTGAGTATTGTATATGCTATGGGTGCTACAGAGCACAAATTCTGGTTGTACTTCTCAATTGGTGAGTGCTACAAAGCACAGTTAAATGGTTGTGTCTCTTAGTTACAATTTAAGCATTTGTCAGCTGTCAGATTGTACCTCTTAGTCCAGATATGATGTAAGTATTGTTTGTGCTCTGAGTTCTACAGGGCATAAATTTAATGGTCGTACCTCATACTCCAGGTATGATATAAGTATTTGTGTGCTGTCCGAGTTGTGCTGTTGTTTGTGCTGTGAGTACTACAGAGCACAGATTCAGTGTGTACATCTCAGTCCAGATATGATTCAAACATAACTATTGTGTGTGCTGTCAGTGCTCGGAGTCACAGATTCAGTGTGTGTGCTGATAATCGCTGGGTCTTTTGTATTGTAAAAGGTCCATCACTCCTGTTCACTTTTATTTGTTTAATTTATTACTGGATTATTTGTGTAACACCTATATAAGACAGTCACTGTCTTATGTAAACTATTGTGCTGTGGAATTTAGTTAGTGTATAATGATTTTACTTTCTAAGTCACTTTGATTAATTTTAGATTTTGATTAATTTTAGTTTTGATCTTTTTACAGTTAAAATGACACAACATTTTTCAGTTAAATGATCAGTCCAGATATACAAAGTTATCATAAAAAAAATCTTCCCAAGTGCATATATTTTATTTAGGTGCAATGTAAAGCAATACAACTGAAAGAAAGGTGCCTGCAAATATTTCACCTTTACACAAAGATAAATAGCTTTAGCCCCAGTCAGAAGGGGTTTATATATTGATGGGGAGTTTAGTGTGCACTCCTAATCAGCTGATAATTACAGTGTACGAAAACTAGACCTGTTCATAATCAATGTACTCAGCATTGAAAGAATCAATATATAGAAATGTGGGACTGTTTAAGAAAGGGACGTGTAAAAGACGAACTGAGAACATGCATTGAAAACTGAGAAAGTTCAGAGCATAATTGCTCGTTTTGCAGTCATTGATTTGAGTTGTTATGTACAGAATAAACACGGTTGCTTATAAAGATAATTGTAATTTTCAAAAATTTTTCCACAAAAGATTTTCTTTTGTTGTTCATTGTAAAGAGAGCAGTGAATAATGGAAAGGGGAGGGCACAGGTACCCCTGAAAAACTTAATATAAGATGTTTGAAATGAAGTGTTGTGAATTATTTATTTCTCTGTGAATTTGCCTCTCTGTTGAGGGCAGGTTACGGTTAAATCCTATTATCAAAAGGCTGTAATTAAACGATAATCAATCATATATTGGCAAGCAGTGCCCCTTGCATTCAAACAAACTTTTTCATCAATTATTGTAATTTTACCACTTTTAAGACTCAGGGTGTATAATACATCCTTCATGATACTAATTAACAAAAGCACCCTGTTTTACTTTGCAAATACAATTTCTAATGTTGGGTCTGGCACTTGATTGAAAGTTTTATTGACACAACTGTGAAACGAGTTTGCAGTTACAAAGTGCCTGCACCAAATCCCAGCCAGTGAAATTCAAAAGGAAATCAAAAGGCCAAACAATGTGAAAACTTCACTTTGAGAAGTTAAGCATGTGACAAGTACAAAGACATGCCAATTTGTAAGGGATAGAGATGAACTTAGTAAAAGGAGTAAAAGTTATCAACCAAAAGAAGTTTTAAGTCTTTTGAAGCCCATGTGAGAGCACCTTGTCTTACAGATTTCCTAGGTCTATTGAAATCCTGAAACCTTTAACCAAGTCGGCTTCTAGCTAATGGAGAAATAATGATGTAGATAATGTGTCCAGTCAAGCCAATATCCCAAGTCCATTGTTAAGGCATTGCAACACCTTATGGACCCTTTATCAAGAGAAATGGCCATGTTTAACTTCAATGAGGAACAGTAGCACTAAAGGAGGATAACTTCTCTAAGCTGTTACTCTCCCAGTACATTATGGGATTAAAAGGATTAGCTCTTCCATATTGTCAAACATAGTTGGTCAAATATTTTTGATTGATGTAGATACAAGTTGATCCCGTTGACATCAAAGTCAATTTGTTCCAGGGGGTAACTAAATGTCCTGAATTTTAACAGTTGCTCCAAATTTGCCATGGACATTACTTAATGTTAAAGTTATTTTTTCCAAAAGATATATTAAGACTTGTTTGAATAAGTGAAGTATTATCTCTAAGGAAGAATGTATATAATATCCAAATTCATTATTTTGGTGATTATTTGATTCAGTCACTGTTTATTCTACTGTACAAGGGTATATCATATCTCGTAGACTTTGATGGATATCCTCATTATATATCCTCAAGCCTTTTGCTCTATGGAGTGACAATTTATTTAAATTCCTATGCATTAGTCATAGAAATTTGGTATTTTTTTAACTTTTTTCCCAGTATATGATCGTCACTTTGAAAGGTTTTCCTCATCTTGAAATCAGAAATTGATGACCATGTTGAAAACTATACAAAGTTATGCAAACCCTCATATTTTATTTTGGAGATTTCTTTTGAAGAAAATTTTAGGGATACTCATCTTGTTTGAAGTTTTTAGTGGATGATTAATACTGCCATCAATTTTTGTACCCAGGTTTCTTTCAACTAATTCTTTTTTGTTTAGATGGCATGACTGCATCATAATTACACTTTAGCATGATGACATGTCCAACAAGAGACTTAAGTCTGCCCCTGCAATCCATAACACTTAGGAAGTTTTAATTTGAATATCAGGGAGCCAGCATTTTGACAGGTATATAGATCACCCTGCTTATGAACTTTTTGTCCAGTTTCAACCAGATACTCCCTAGTCTCACTCTGTGACCAATTATATGGCAGCAACAGATGACGTACCTGGCGCAGAGAGACGGGAAGGAAATTCGAGGACACCCAATGCCTTGGACGATCACCCACGGCCAATTTGATTCACATCACAGTGTCTCCATTGTCGATCTGTTCAGTATTTGATATTTAGATATCTCACCACTGATACCTCTTGGCTGTCATTTTGAGTGTGTGTGTTTGTTTTTTTATCCCAAATTCTATAGAGATGCTTTTGAAAGTTCGAATAAAAAAACTCCGGTAGATGTTTCTGATATTATTGTTCCAATGTCATTACGTCTGAGATGTGTCAGTTGATTAGGGAAGTATGTAGTTTGTGCATTTGCTTTAGGGGTGAAACCTTCAAATGGAAAATCACTTATGGTGATCAAAAATTTGACAAATAGAAATTGATTGGGAAAATAATTGTTTTTGTGATTATTTTTTAGCAAAGGATAAGTGAAGTTTTGTTTTTTTGATTCTCTCTTAGGTGTAAATCATATGGTCCACCTTGAAATTGTATAACCCACTGATCTTGGTAGATTTCACAATAGTCCCAGTTTATTGTTAAATGATTTTTTTGTCCTTACCGTTGAAAAAGATTTTTTGGGCTGATACTCTATCAATGGTATCTCTTTCAAATCGTTGAAATGGAGACAGTCACCGTTGATCATATATTTCTGCCTCGTTGCAAAAAATAGCTGGTTCTCATTTGGAGTTAATTGCCGCAACAAATCATTATTGTGAAAGGTGTTGGGCCAGCTCATGCTAACTACATAATGCTCTGTGTTTTTTTTTATTTCAGACATACATGCGAATCAAGTGCAATCGCCAATCAAGACTTAGTGGTGAGTTTTAAATTCTTTTTTTTCCTCAGAAGGCGTGTTCTAAGATAATTTAATGGTTTTCAAGTGATTTAACTGGCTGCCATATTGTGGTGTACATTGCTCATCAGAAGTAATTGGATAAAGATATCTAAATGTCAACTTATTTATTGTAGTGATGTGCTAAATATATAACTTTCTTTAATAAATACAACTGCAAATAAAATGCCATGCAAACCATAGGTAATGTGTATCAATTTTCAAGTATAATGTGAACTAAAAGAATATAAAGAGTAAAAATGTTTGAATGACTTAGAAAATTTCAGTATATGTGGATGTAAAAGAGAAAGATGAAAAAAAAAAATATCAAACTGAAGTGAACACATGCAGCTTATTTGCTCTCATGAATATTGCAATATAATGCAGGTTTCAGATAGTTCAAGCCACATGCTGCATAACTAAGTGAAAATTAAAAAAGAACAAATTTAAGTAATGTATGATATACATGTATCAGTACTTATATCTCTGTAAAAATTATTCATTTGTGCTTGCAGCGAGAAGTAGGAACCGTAAGAAACGTCCAGATGAAACTGTTTGTCCTGTGTGTAATGAAAGAGTTGTCGGGTCACCAGAGGAACTCAATGCTCATGTGGAAATCTGCCTAAAAAGGGTAGGTATTTAGTTTATACAATATAGGATGAATAAAAAACAATTAGGAAAGTTTTAAATAGTGTTATATTGATAAAGTTTTGAAATATTTAAAAATGATATTTCAAAGGTCACACATGAAAATCAGTAGTACTGTCACAATATTTATTTTTATGAATGTGATTATTGTTCTATGTCACTTAGTATTATCAAAAGGTATTGTAGTCTAATGAACTATCAGACTGATTTATTTTGAGTGTGTGACAAGGAAGATAACTCTTATAGCCTTAAGTGATAAACAAGAGTTCATTCTTCAGAAAACTGATGAAGATGAGCCAGTGGATGTAGAGGGAGATGAGCAGTGTGAGGAGTATACCTGGGCAGGACAGACCCGAATCAGGGCCACCACATTGTTACAGGGAGGTCTGGGAGGTCAGTACCATAAAAATATAGAGATGGAAGAGGTTTGAATTTAATAATAATTAGCCCTTTGTGGTACAGCTCTTTTGCAGGGCAAATTAATAACTTCTGGCAAAATTTTTACTAGCAGAGGATTAAAATTTACTAAATAATTGCTGTTACATCATGAAACAGTCTATAACATAATCAATATAACTAAATATCAACATTAATATCTGGAACATTTCAGTGTAAAAATATCATAACTGTGAAAATTTTGTTGAGATAATTGATGGTTCAAAATCAAACTGAGACCTGAATTTTTAATATAGTCAAACTTTGACATACCAATTGTGCTTAACATATCAGTGTTTGAGGCATCAAAGCTCTATTGTCCAGTATAAAGCATTTACAAAACTTTGGCATTATGAAGGCCATTCTTTGATTTTCAGGTTCAGGTTTCCAGACATACAGCAGCAAGCGACAAATGGACGAGGACATAGATCTGGACGTAGACGGGGACGATTCCAAACAGTACGGGGAACCTCAGTATCCTTCTGTGTAAAAATACATGTACCAAAGTCTAAAATAATAGTCTGTGTATATAAAAATAAATGTACCAAAGTCTAAAATAGTAGTGTGTGTATATAAAAACACATGAGCCAAAATCGAAAATATTAGGGGATTTTCTCTTGTGGATGTTGGATTAAAAAGATTTATGTTTAAAATTAACACATAAGATGAATCTTTGTTACACAGCTCAAATTATGCCAATATTATAAAGATAAAAATTTAATTGTCTCCCTTTGACTGCACAATGAACTCTCAAAAATGAAAATAGATGGATTACTTTGGTCATGAGACTTGTAGTATCACATTTAGAAATGGCTTGAAGCATACTTAGAATTTATTTAATTAAAAAAAAACCTATTCTTTGATTTGCCTTAATTGGATTAGATTTAGTGAGGCAGACATAATACCTTGCTCCTCTGAGGAACCTGGTGAGGACAGAGAGAGGGCAGCCCTCCGAGGAGCTATACTGGGGTAATGATTAAAATATTTATCTTAAAGCCTTGAATTTGTCACTGAATGGCAAACTTTGTAAAAATTTTACCCAAAGTATTTTAGTACTCAGCTTCTTTTTGATTTACAGCTCTTCATCTTCTACAGCTGAGGTCAATACAGGTAAGTTTATCAATTTTATTATTAAATTTGACAATGCAAGAGAACACTGTGCATATAAAAATAAAATATAGATGGATGTACAACTATGTGAAAATGTGATACAAATTAGTGTTCTTTGTGAAAATATGAATCACTCTTGAAAATTACTGTCAGAAAGAAACCATTATTCCTTTTCTGCTTTAGTTAACTTTGTGGTTCATATTTTTTTCAGATTTTCAAGTCGACTCGGACAGTCCAGATGAGAATGGAACAGATACCTACACACAAAATAGGTCAGAGACAAACAATAAAATACTACAGCAACAATTAAATAGGACAGAGACAAAAAATAAAATACTACAGCAAGAATTCAATAGGTCAGAGACAAACAATAAAATACTACAGCAACAATTGAATAGGTCAGAGGCAAACAATAAAATACTACAGCAACAATTAAATAGGTCAGAGACAAACACTAAAATACTACAGCAACAATTAAATAGGCCAGAGGCAAACAATAAAATACTACAGCAACAATTGAATAGGTCAGAGGCAAACAATAAAATACTACAGCAACAATTAAACAAAAATCTTTTTTACAATTCGAAAACTCATTTGTAAAATTTTTGGAAACAAAATTGTTCAGTATAAAGTAGGGTGGTTTGTCAATGAGTACTAAGTCAGAAGGTGTAAATGTCAATTACTAATATCACCACTCAGTAACTTGGGGAAAAAAGGTACAAACCTGCAATTTTTACTTTCAAATTTTTTTTTTAATTTCAAATAAATTGCATAGGTTTAAACACGTCAAGGTGCTGGTAATTGTTTAATGTTTATATATGCGGCAAATGTGAAACAAATGTTGCAGTTAGTCTACTGATGGCTGATTTTATCCTGGAGCAGGTTGCTCATTCTCTCATATTTTAATATGTAACATTCAAAATTAAATGACAAAAAATTAACTTGTATTCTATTAATAAAAAAACTCAAATATAAAGTGTTCACTGAGAAAGCATTAGAGAGAGATGTCAGTGCCAAAAGTGAGATTTTAAAATTTTTTAGACAAATTATCTTACATTTGATTAAATTAGTTCTCATATTCAGATGGACAGTTTCTTATTGAAGCATGTTTGTCAGTTACCTATCAGAAATGTATAAAGAATGCAGTAAAAGTGATACATGTATTATTTAACATTCATTTGTATGGCAGATATAAAAGTTATATAAATTAGATATAAAGTAACAGCCAATGTTTTCAATCAAGTAATCTGATACATGGTTGGAAACAGGGCTGCTTAGGCAGTTACAAGTTTTTTTAACCCGGTTTGATACCATATTAGAAAGTGATAGGATTTTCTTTATCAGAATTTTGTAATTCTGCAAGACTGCAAATAATAAATGCACTGTACTGAAACTTTGTTGAGTATCATCAATGATCGCATGTATGTCTTCATTTGAAGACCGAACAATTATACGTGTACCACCAAATGATATTTATTGTTGTCCATGTGTGTTACCATTCAAATATGTGTAAACAATAGTGCTTTCCATTGTAGTGCTGAAACATTCTCAGGCTCGGCATCAGAAGTCATTGCTGCTTTAAAACTAAAAATCAAGGATCAAGAGAAAGCAATAAAGAAGGATAAATCAAAATGTCTTATTTGTATGGTAAGGCTTCTTAAACATTGTGGATTTCCTAGTAATTGTCACTACTCAGTAGAGTCAGAATAGTAGGTGGATTTCCTCAAAATCTTTCCTTAAAGAAAGGTCTTTTACATTTTAGGAACCATACACAAACCCATTGGCTTCCATTCAGTGTTGGCATGTGCATTGTGAAAACTGCTGGCTGAAAACATTAGTAAGTTAAATTTATTTAAGAAAGTTGTCCCTCAGACCTCACTGGCAGTATCATATAATAAAATCTCACTAGGTTGAGAAACTGCAAAATGTCAACTAAGCTAAAAGACAGATTTTAATTATTCAACCAATTCATTTTAAAAATAAAGTGACCATGTGGCAAAATATTTACAAGACAAAATTTCCTAGAACACATTGCCCAGCAAGCAATGAAAAAATATCAATTAGCTTGATGTTAAATCATTTGCTGATGGTACTTAATATAAAATGTATGTATATACTTCGAAAAAGGCATCATCTGAAACCCAAGGTCAATCTTGACATATTTTAAACTTACTAGAATATGGTGATACTATTATTTGCATGTACCAGTCTTAAAATCCTTTGTTGGATATGAAAAATCAAAAATATTGATTGGATATGCACTATTATAGTATACTACTAATTGTGTTTTCAGGGTGCTAAGAAGTTATGTCCACAGTGCAATATGATAACAGCGGCCCGGGATCTGAGAAGGATTTATCTGTGAAAAAGTAGGGCCCTGGATAGAGAAAACGGTTACAAAGACAACACTACTGGCATCTGCCTCTATAGCTGTGATTATATAGTGCTTGTGAACCATGTGCAAAGACACAGAATTCACACCTCAGATTTTAAATTATGCAAAATATTAAATATTAAAAAAAGAATATGAGATGTAGAATGTCAGAAATGTGATGTGTGGGTGAAAAATATAAAAAAAAAAAAATGCTGGTGTAGATTTTCATCCTTCATCATCACTGTGTAATTTTGTTTTGTTTCATGAAATGTATTATCTTCAAATTTTCCAGATACATGTATACCATTTTGACTTTGATTTTTATGATTAAAATATGATGCTTACTAGTTAATGTTCCATGTCCTGTTTATGACTTCAAGCAGGTAACCTGCAACACATTTCCTCTTCTTTGTCTGGTGTCTTCAGTTACTTATCAAAAATTTGTAAGGGACAAAACTTTTGATTGATTGCCATTTGGACTTCAATTTTACATAATAATCCCTGGCTTTTAAAGTTGCAGTCATCTCCATCTGAATCATTTTTTTTAAGATTATATATATATATATATATATATATATATATATATATATATATATATATATATATATATATATATGTACATGTTTATAAGTCATCCATGCACATATTTATAGCTCACCTGAGCTGAAGGCTCGAGCTTTTCTTATCAAAATTTGTCCATTATCTGCTGTTTCACAATTTCTTCTCCTCCTGTACAACTACTGGGCCAATTTCAACCAAACTTGGCACAGAGTGTTCTTGGTGAAGGAGATCCATGTTTGTTCAAATGAAGAGCTACACCCTCTTTCAAGGGGAGATAATTAAGAATTAAAGAAAATTTAATGGCATCTTTTAAAAATCTTCTTAAGAACCACTGAGTCGGAAAAGATAAACTTATTTGAAAGCTTCATTACATAGTATGGATTCAAGATTGTTCAAATCATGACCCCAGAGGTAGTTAGATTCAAGTTTGTTCAAATCATAACCCCAGGGTTGTAGGGTGGGGCTTCATTAGGCAATAAAAGTGTTAGATAGGAATGTAGAGGGAAAATCTTTAAAAATCTGACGAGAAACAGCAAATCCATGATTGTCAAATAAATATGGAAGCATCCTCAGTTAGAGAAAAAAATACTGAAACAAGAAATTTGGAGTAACTAGAAGCCTGGAAAAATTATGGGCATTAAAAATGTACTGCTCTGTAAAATTCAAGCTATTGACTTAAAGTTGAACATGACTCATGAATAACCTTAGACCATCTTTAAAAAATTGTTTGTTTGCCCTCTCTGGCTAAAAATGGCCCGACTCAAAACTTTTTTAACCTCCAGGAAACTATCATTTCTTTTTTTTTATTCATTCCAGAATTTTCTCTTCCTGACAAAACTATTTTTAAGTTTATAAATACCTTCAATTTCAAGATTTTGAACATCCAGCATTGATGTCGAAAAATTCTGGGGGAAAAAATTCTCCCACCTACCTACTGACCGACCCAATTTTTTTTTATCCTGAGTTGGGAGAGTTTTATCATTTATCATAAAGTACTTTCCCAGCAATGATAACAGAATTGAAGACTTTATTTAAAAGAATAAATCAAGAATAAATCATTAATGTCCAACATAAATCTGGCATAGCCACTGATATATAATTCAGTGGACATTATAAAATTTAGTAGACAAAAATTGCAAACTTTCCTTTTAAATCAACCTAGTGCTGCATATCTATATATAAACAGTGTATTATAATTTTTTATTTGAAAAATGTGGTAAGAAATAAGTGTAATATCTATATATTAAAATTTTATATCCACCTACTTGGTTAATATTAAATTGCCAGAAAGGTACCTCTAAAAATTCCAGAAATGTAAAAAAAAATAAATGTCAGAAAAAAAAAATAAAAAATGTCAGAAATGAAAATAAAAATTGTCAGAAATGCAATGCAAAATTCCGGAAATGAAATGCAGGGACCTGATTGCTTTCTGGCTACTTGCTAGTATGCACAACATGTACTGGTAGCTTACATTTGTCTTTGTTTACCGGTACATTCTATTGCATATTACTTGTATTTTTGTTTGTTTGTACTGCACTGACCTGTGCATTCTTTGGTAACTTGGAAGAAGCATACAAATGATGCCGAATGTAAAAGCAAGTGCATAAAATGTCCAAATATAGTAAAGGCCGTACTATACTCCCCACTTGAAAAGCAGGGGGGTGTATAGTGATGCGTGTGTCCGTTACACTTTGGGGTACCCATCTCTTATCCGCAACTCCTCTTACACCACTGAATAAAATTTAAGTGATACATACACCCCTGTTCCCAAATGAGAATAATGGCAAATTTCATGTTTTGCTATTGGAAACCCCAAATCAAGGTATGTGTTCGATCAAAATACAAAATAGGAGGTGCATAAAGGCACTGTGTAATAAAGATTCTGTGAAGTCTCAATACTGTAAATTTTTTCATTGATATAGGAGGAGTTGTGGATAAGGATGGGTACTCCCAATATTATAGAAAGAGTGGCTGCCATGGGAAACCCCAAGCATGTGTCTGATTGAAACATAAAATAGGATGCACAATGCCAGTATGTAATGAAGATTTCATGAAAGTATCATAAAATTGCAGTGAGTGGTGTAAGAGGTGTGGATTAGGGATGGTTATACCTTCAACAGACACCCCATCACTATATCCCCCCCCCCCTTTTTTTTTTCAAGCAAAGAGTATAACTAGAATTTTCAGAATACTTTCTGTTGACATTAAATGTTAAAATAAAATGAAAATGCTACCTATGGACTTCAAAAAAATATACAATGAAACAGCTATCACTGCTGACTCTAAATGTAGGAACAATTTTAGAATTGAAAGTCGATATAAAATGTGAAAACTACATTTATTGACTGTACAAATAGATACATGTCAATAGTCTCATCTTTGCTAGCCAAGTTTTCCTCACAAAGTTTGTAAGGATCAAGTGTAGTGGATCAGAAACTCTTGGCTATCAAAGATGCAATAGTCTAAGTAATGAATATTGAAATTATTCACATTGATTACAATAAATGTGAAGTATACAAATAAAAGCTGTTACAGTATATAGATATACTACTAGTGAAAGTAAAGATGGGCCAAAAAAAACCCTCTATTTTCCTTGGCAATATTATTGGGGGGTGAAAATTTAAGCAGTGACAAGATACGAATAAGTTACACAATTAAAGATACAGATTTTTGTGGAAGATATAAAATGCAGCTAAATGAAAGCTATGGAGTGTTAAAGGTAGACATCATAGCAGTCAATAAGCTATTAATTAAAGCATTAAATGTGAAAGTTAAGTAATAATGGCCAATGATTGTGTAACAGGAAAGGAGAAAATGTATGGCTGGACTGGGAATCGAACCCAGGACCCCTGCATCACTAGTCAGGTGCTCTACCAACTGAGCTACCCAGGCCGATATCCACAGCCCAAACCATTACAATTGAATTAGACCTTTTGTCGTCAAAGTATAAAACAATCAAGTCTTGTCTAGTTGACTTTGTGAAAAATAGAAGAAAAATCTTAGCTTGTAGTACCGTAAATCAAATGGCTGAATAAGACAGAAAACTTTTAATATATATGTTTTATTCCACAATTTTTATGATTTTAGAAGAAAAATTACTAGTAAAATGTTTAATTCATAAATAAATAAAAGTATTAACAAATGAATAAAAACAAACAATAAAATATTTTATGTTTCAACATAATCCAGCATTTTGCGAAAGTCAGTGCAGAAGATCGATGCACTTTATTTATGTACTTGCGGAACAATATTCCTATATAAAGTATATAAGTGTATAATCAGACTAGTGACCTGTGTTAAAACAAAAAGATTCTCTCAGTTTAAAACCTTTCATATTCATGCTTTATAAGCTTCAACATTACTTACAACAGAAAGTTTCATATTAGGATAAAACATATGTTCAACATAAACAATACTCAACATACATGTATGACATCATATATTTATAAAAATAATTCACATATGTCAAAAAAAACAAATTCCTGGCTCATGTATCAGGAAAAATCTTGTGATATAAAATGGAAATATATAATTTGATTTTTTTTTTCGCTGGAATTCTTCACTTATTTTGATTTCAACTTTCCTACATAAGAAGCACTTATTTGACAATAATACCATTTCTGAACACAGTTCTTTATAGCTCCCCCAAACAGGTTATATAGCTCCTCCGATCAGGGTTCTGAAGGGGATTCATCGTCTGAATTATCCGGTAGTCCTTTCTGCATTCTTTTCTGTTTTTGATTTAGTTCTTCTCTGCAAGAGAAAGCTCTATTAAGTATATGGAATACCTAGTACTTATAAAAGATAAAACATACAGAACTTTGTGTACAAACCATACTATTAAAAAGTTGATACAGTTGAACTTTGGAATCTCGAACACCGATATCTTGAATACCATGGATATTTCGAAGTGATTTGAAAACCCTAATCACTTATTCATGAAGTATTTTACCTGGGTATCTCGAACCCTTGGATATCTCAAAGAATTTTCTCAGTCCCATCGGGTTCGAGATAACGAGGTTTGACTGTATATTAAAAAATTTTTCTGAGTGAAGATCAAATCTAGATATGATCACCTTGCTTCAAAAAAGTCAGTGCACACTTTTCCTATGGCATGTTGATTAAGAAAAGTTTTTTTATGGTGTCAATAATCTGTAGCAGTAATGTTAGATGAAAGCTTACTGGTGCAGGTATTTGACACAGTCCTGAAATCCATACATCCTAGCAATATCAGCAGGCTTATCCCCATACTTGTCTCGCTTGTATATGGGTACATCTGCCACAACTAGGGCACGCAATACTGTCAGCTTCCCAGTCTCTGCTGCAAAGTGTGCTGGCGTCCAATTCATGTCTGCTCGAGCCAGTCCATCTGCGCCATGGTCCAGTAGAAGACGCAAACATTCTACGTAACCTGCAGGGAGGTATAAGTTTAAATTAAAACTTTATGATAGAAATGAACATACAGTTGAACATTGGTATTTCAAACACTGATATCTCAAATACCATGGATTATAATGTTTAAGCGATCTGGAAGTCCCAACGGCTAATTCTTTAAATAATTTACCCTCAATGTCTTGAATATACTTCATTATCTCAAAGTTTTTTCTCTGTCCTATCAAGTTCGGGATATAAAGATTTGACTGTATAAAATTTATGACAGAAATAAAATCATAATAAGAAATTTAACAAAAAAGTTACTTTAAAATTGGAAACCGAATACAGTTCTCATCTATGCCTCCATGGGTTTATAAATCTTCATACCATATGCATCTTTGCTAGCACAATTGTTTTTTGGTCCACTAACCTGGTCGATATATAAACATTAAAATGATATTGCCCATTTCTAAAATTAGCTGTTACAATGGAATTTCTTTATTACCTTTAGCACTCGCCCAGTGTAGAGCTGTTCTGTCCCGCCACTCAGGGTCTCTCAGATTAATGTCAATCTTCTTGCTAAATATAAGTTCCTCTAATGTATCATAATCACCAACAGAGGCTGCTTCATGAAGTTCTAGTCCTGATGTCATACTTCTTCAATGTATTCTACAAAAATACAAGTCATGAGTGACAGGATATACCTCTAAACTACATGCAACACTTCATAACTCTTTCATTATGTTTGATTATAGGCAAGGGCGAACCTTGTCATGCAAAGAATTTCTTCTCAAGAACAATTGATCACATTACAGTATATCAAGAGTTATGAATTTTTTATTTAGTAATATAAAAAAATGTTTATAATTATTGGAATGTACAAAATAAGTATTTTCAAAATTAATATCCAACTTTTTAATAATTTTTGTTTATGCATTAAGTTTATATATACTTGTTTATTAAATTTTTGAAAAATTAGAGATTTTATATTAAAAAATGAAATAAATTTATATACTTATGGCTTAAGAAAGTTAGATAACTCTTGCTCTTGTATCGACCGAAAATGGACCGAGATTTTAAAATAAATGCTCTCCTTTAAATAACTCGAAGATGAATTTTTACTTGTAGTTGGGAAAATCTTGCAGTCCCATTAAAAATATATCGCTTCACAAATTATGGGAAAGATAAGAGAATCTAAGCAGATACCCTCTTCTTAACAGTATCCTAGTAGTAACATTTTTAGCCTATGGCTTGGATCCTCTTCCTAACAGCATTATCCATACTAGTAGTAATATGTTTACGTTTTATGACTGGGATAATTTGTTTACCTTGCCCGTCTCTAGTAATGTTACAGTGTCAACACCACCATACTCTAATATACATAAAATGTACTTCTCATTTGACCCCAAATATCGATATCTGTCACATTTTCCAGGCTTTCTTTCCTATATTACTTATATTGTTCTTGATATGTTTGCCAACGGTTTTTCCGATGGCATCCAAAAATGACTTCTTCTAGAACCACTATTTATCGATGAGAGGTTTCGTGTACTTCGTATAATTATATCGCGAGAATAACAATCAGTGTTTAAGAAATTTTTTTTCACATTTAAAGTCTATACTTTTTAAATCTTCCTTATTTTAGGTTAAAAAAAATTATGAATCTTTATTACATACCTATTATACATTATTGTTGAAATAAATTTGGTAAAAAATAATAAATTTGAGAAATATACATTAATCATTGATTAAAAGAAATGTCTTCAAGGGAGATAATCGTAAATGTTATTTTCTAAAAATAAACAATCTTTGCTTGTCTTTAATCAAGTCTATGTGTCACACATGACACTGTCATTCAGTGAAATGGCTTGTCAAGTATTGTTTTCATAAATGCTATTTAGTGTCACACTATTTACACTTACTTGCTGATATCAATGAAAAGCTAAAACATTTATTTATGCCTATGACGCCTACATCAAAATTTAAAGGACGTTTCATGTTTTATCCACTTGCGGGAAAACACTAATAAACACATAACTTTATTCAACCATCATAGTTTTATTGGTACGAGCCTATTAAAATTTACTTATATTAAAGAATCAACATGCATCGTTGGTATACAACTTTAGATTATAAATTGCAGGTCACTTTAGTAATTTACGAAAATTACACGTAATGTAACACCTTAGCTACATGAGTAAATTGTTTACCGAAATATAACAACAACTGTTACAGGTACTTCTGGAAAAATGCCAAGTTATCTAACTTACCTGCTGTTTTAGCTGTGATCAAGTGGATTGGTCAATCATTCTCACTAATAGTCACTCGAATATTAAAATATGAAATAAAATAAACTGCAAAAAACGGAAAGGAAAAGTGGTTAACAGTAAATCCAGATCGATCCCGAAAGATTTCAAAATAAAACAAGCCAGGTCTTGAATGTTAGAAAGACCTTTAAATAAATTATCGATCTATTTTTCCTTAATCATATACGATTGATTACATTATTTAAAAGGGACAAGATTTGCGTATTAATGTAACACGAAACTGCAAGATTGCTGAAAACTGATATTTATATATTTTACACTGTTATTGCTAAATTTCAAGTTGAAATCATAATTGTTTTCAAATGTCGGTATTACTAAAAATGTAACTGTTTATACTGGCCTATTTCTTGAGATCTCTGTCGTAAATTGTGTACAGGTCGATAGTATATGCTTTTTTTTTTTTTTACTGAAATTCCTAGATCTAAAAGAAACCAAACAACAAATGAAAAACGAAACTTTTTTTGTTATACTAACGAAGTCATTCGACAAGTTTCGCATTTCTGGGTTTTTCTGTATCACAAATTATCTCTGTATATAGATATCTAGACAGCCTCAAATAAGATATCTATATATATACTTTACATATATACATGTACATATGTACTATGAATTATAAAATTCTGCATGCAAATTGACAGCAAGTGCAAGTGTAGAGATGACCACATATGACGCGATAAACTAAATATGCATTGCTAGCTAATTATCCATTATTCCGTTGACAATTTTGAAGAAATAATAACTTTAATGCGTTTTTTGTTTTGTTTTTGTTTTTGTTTGAATAAGCATGCTTACATGATAATTACTAGTATTTTGATAAACATGCTTACATGCAAGAAAGATTTTCTTGTGTGTGCAAAAATGTTTCCACTTAAAAAAAAAATAGTAAAGTTAGTCTTAAAATTAACTACAGTTTACAAATGAATCGGAAAAAGAAAAAAAAGTTTTTTTTAAAAAAAAATGCTGATTCATTCATTTTTGGGATGTAGTTCTAAAATTCTCCACTTATTAATTTCCGAGGTCTTTCCCATCCATATAGAGACAAAGTAAACCTACTGATACTTAATGAAGAGTATCACTCCCCGATCTCTTCGTTACTTATTTAGAATCGTTCAATTAAGCTATATGACAGTAAGTCTTGTGATGGTATATAGAAAGAAGACTGTTATTTAAAACACTAATGAAATATCCTACTAAAGATTAACAAAAAAAGATTTTACAGTCGACTGAGAAACAATATTTTCCAAAATCAATTAAAAGTAAGTATTCAGAATAAACTGAACAAAGATCTTTTGCAGTTACAAAACAGGAATGATCGTCTATAGCACAGATTAGTTGTGGAATCTTTCTAATTTACATAAACACCGTGTGGATGATTTGATTAAAGATGAAAACACTTTTCATAAATACAATAAACTCTTCACGATGTAAATACTTTAGGGCGTAAATATGGTTATATGTTTATTTTCAAGAATGCTCGGAACAATAATCATCATTTCATTCATGAACCATTGATTTTCAGGTTATTTACACAAACTATAAATCTACATATCAATAACATTTACATATGAAAAAGCTCGTTTTTATAGAAGAACAAAGAATAAATATATTTATCATAAATTATGTGAAAATTGTACATCAATGAAATAAAACTCTGATTAATGTACAAAGCACTTACAAAGATAAATTGTTTGCATTTTTTACCCTGATAAATTTCAAATGTGTCAGTGTAATTGACTTTCTCCTGACAAGCGTAAAATTTATTTATTATAATTACATATTTGCTCATATTGTACTAATATTCTGCACAAGGGGAAAGAATTTTTCTTTCTTTTATTTCAGTTTATATTTAATTTTCTTTCAAAAAGGACGGTACATAAAGCTTTTTGTTGTTAAAACAAGAGGGAATAGTTTTAGAAAGGCAAGAAAAATTCAACAACACAGTATCAAAGCAAATTAACTTGAAACTGCACATGGATTGTGTAATCTTTGCTAGTAAAAAATTGGTATCATGTTAGCCCAGTAGATAACCCTTAACAGTGCACAAAGGAGACAATGCGCTAATTCACAAAAAAACAAAACAAAACAAAACAAAACAAAAACATCCCCCTCAAAGAAAACAAACAAATAAAAAAAAAAATCAAATAATTTTTTCTTCTTGCCGACATATGTGGCATTTACTCCTTCATCCCATGTATTATATTTTTGTACTAGTATCAGCAACTTCAGCTTTCTTTTGAAAACAAACTATTAGCTCGCTTAATAACATATTTACTTTCATCTCACAAAATGTTACAGTCGTAACAAGTAAGAAAGAATGTATTAAAACATTGTTTTGAGAGAATGAACTGCATGAACAATTGTAGATCATGTATCAGTAAAAATCCTCTTTTACGGAAAATACAGATATGATATTAGGGGGGAAATCAAAATAAATATAGATAAAAAAATAAAGGTACATTTACATGTTTTTTAAATTAGAAATGTTTTAGAAACATACAAGTCCTCGTGCGGCAAAATTAAAAAAGGAACAACTATAAATTTTAGAATGTCTGTGATAATAGTGAAAAAGGGGTTTTCTACTACTCAGGAGCAAGAATAATACTAAGTTTGATATCTATCAGATCTCAAAATTACTAGAGGTAGTTTACTTGTTAGAGGGTACCAGTGTACCAAATTTGATGGCTGTAAAGAAAATGGATCTCAATTTACTAAGCTGAGTATGTTCCCATGCCCAGAGAAGTTTGACTCTTAATTGAGCTGGTGACTCAAAATCAATAGGGGTCATTTATACTCCTCAGCTTGAACCAGTGTACCAAGTTTGATGTCTGTCAAGCAAAGTGTTCTCAAGAAATTGAACGGACAACACTAGGTCTACCGCGACCGACCGCCTGACAGGTGCAAAGCAATATACCCCCTCCCTTTTGAAGGAGGCTTATTTTAATAAATACCTTTATTTCACCATATAACATTGTTTAAGAATGAAGAATTAAGGAATGTTTGGTGGAGAATGAAACGACTTATCAGTTTGGAAGTCTTCTTGTTCGAAAAAATCATATCATTTCGAGAAAAAAAAAGAAATATAAAAAGACACACCAGAATGAAAAAAGGAATTTGTGTAATTTCATATTTTTTGATATTTTCAATGGAAAAGTTTTTAATTTTTTGGAAGAAAAAAGTGAGTATCAAGTTAGCCCAGTGGATATCCCGTACCAATGAGTAAACCCACAGATACGAGATAGATCTAACAGCTTTTGTCTCTGTAGAAAGTGTTTCTTTTTTAATCAGTCCCACCAGGCCACGGCTCACCCACAAGTACCTGATTAAAATTTATATTTAAGGAGGGATGCCACACCAAAATTTTATTTCATAGACCTTTAAGTCATCCCTGATAAGTAGTTGTTTCAGCATTAAAAGGCCAATATTAGCTCTTAATCGTTTAATAAGAATTTTTTTCCTATTTTTCATGGAAAATGAAAAAAAAATGTTTTATTTTCTAATAAGATGCTTTAGGGTTAAAAATTACTTGTCCCATCCCAATAAGTGCAAATGAAAAACAAAACAAAAACAAAACACAAAAAACATGCTTTGAAAAACAACAAAAGAAAAATCATATTTTGTACTGGTCCCATCCCGGTGATATATATTGCCTGTCCCCTAAATCATTGTTTGGGCAGATTGAAACACCTGGGCGATTGTAGATCACGTATTAGTCAATCCTGCTTTATAAAAAAGTATAGAAGTCATAAAGACAATAACAAAATAATGGATTTTTTTTCAAATTTTGGAAAAAAGGTGAGTATCAAGTTAGCCCAGTGGATATCCCGTACCAATGAGTGAACCCACAGATACGAGATAGATCTAACAGCTTTTGTCTCTGTAGAAGGTGTTTCTTTGAATCAATCCCACCAGGCCACGGCTCACCCACAAATATCTGATTAAAAGAAATATTTAAAGGTCTGCTCATGGAGTGGTGCAATATCCGGTGGAAGAGTAAAAAGGACAGTATAGTCCAGTCAAATTGTCATAAACCTTAAACAAATTGCAACAGAATTTTTTTCTTTATTTATAATTAGTAAATAGTATTATAATCAACATATAAAAACTCTAGAAAAATATATAAAGGCGAAAGATGTGTTTTTCAGAAATAAATATTTACTGGTCTGATAAAATATGTATTGCAGAAATGTGCTACCATATGCACCAAGGGAGACAATTTTAACCACTGTAAACAAACCACTTTTCTTCTTAAAGAAGCATAATAAAATTTATAATTCATTTTGTATACATGCTCTGGTTTAAATTTCACCAATGCACTGGAGATATAAGATCTGAGAATCTTATATATGTCTAAACTTAACGATATATTGTTGAAACCTTAGTATATACTACATTATCTGCATCACAATTTTTAAGCATGTAGGAACCTTTCTTTCAAATATTAGGTCTATGAATCACAAGAAATTATATATTAATCATGCATTTCTGTAAAAATTCAATCTTCCAATTAATAATAACTCGTGCACATATATAAATTAGTGTTTACTTCTCTTTTATTAGATATTGGAAACGTTAGGGGAAATATTCTATGGAAAGTTGTTAGTGGTATTTTTGCAACATAAAAATATTTTATTACCTACAGTTGTAAAAGTTATATTTTGGTGTATGACCTTGTTTAAAGATTTTTTTTTCTTTAGAATGTTGATTATATTAGTGAGATCTACTTTGCTATTTCCAAAAAAAAAAAAAAAAATAGATTAGGCCATCTTGGAAAAATTTTTTGGTTGCCCTCTTCCGACTGACTGACTAAAAATGGCCCGACTCAAAACTTTTTTGTTTTTACATTCGAGGACATCATATTTTTTTCTTTTTATTCCTCTTATCCTGTCAACAAATATGTTGAAATTGTCTAGAAAAAAAAAAGATTTTCTTACCTACCTGCCGATTTAATAATTTTACCCTGAATCAGGAGAGGGCAAACAAACAATACTTTAATGATGGCCTTATTCATATTTTTTTTTTTGGGGGGGGGGG